GAAATTTTTTTTGGACCTGTAAATTTTTTTTAGAAATTAAAAAAAATTTTTAAAACTAAAAAATTTTCGAAAGAAAAATATTATTATGATTTGAAGTTTGACCTCATTAAAAGACAACCATTTAGGGCTGAAAATTTTGTATCTTACTAAGGTTGGGGTTTTCGAGTCGGTCCGAAGTTTGAGTATTTTTTTGGGCCTCATTTTTATCGGACCGGAACGACCGAGTCTTTTTCGGGCCAAAATTCGATGCCCGACTTGATCTTTCGGACCTGACCGGGCCCCCAACTCTATATCTTACACTGAAGGGTGTCTTAGAGTGAGGGTAATACTTAGGCATCTTACTCTATCTAATGACCATCAAATCTAGAAAAATGTACAGATCTTAAATAGAGGTGCATCTATAGTGTTGGAGGCACCTTAAAATGAGATCAGTATTTTATACTAATAAGAGGGGTTAACATGGAGGTATTGCTTAGGCAGCAGAAGTGCCAGTAAAGGACTAAGGTACCGGAATTCGGAACTTTCGGAAATCGGAAATGGTTCAAAAGCCGGAACTCGGAAATCTGAATTTCTACCCGCCTCTGCTAGACAGCCCTCCTCACTATGTTCCTACCAAGTTGAAAAAACGTATCTTATCTTGAATAGATGTGTTTATATTAAACAGAGGTGTATCCCATATTTGTGGTAGCTTATAATTAGAGTCCGACATTTTAGGTTCCGACCTATTTTTTTGCAACCTTGTAATGTTGAGTAAAGCTCAAAAAACACTTATTTGGCACGGTACCATGCTCCTACATTGGACCTATTTAAACCTAAAAAACCTATTTCGGCTTTTTTGGACCTAAAACCTATTTGAACCTATTTTGACCTTTTTTGGGCCTATTTTAGGTTTTTTGAAGATTTTTCTAAAAATTTGATTATTTTTAGTAAATTATTCAACTTTTCCCCATGAAATATCGGAAAATAAAAAAATTTAGTAGGTGAATTATCAAAAAGGTGAATTTTTCCGCAAAATGTATCTAAAATTCTTAAAATTTTCGCCTGCGGCGCCAAAAATTCCCATTGTTTGAGTGATCTTCATATGTGAATAGGGTTGCCAAAATGGCACGATTCGGACCGAAAGATCGAGTCGGGCCTAAGTTATTTGAAAAAAATGCCTCGACCGTCAGCCCGATTCGAATAACGGCAACCCTTAATGTGAAATCTATTGCGATAAGTTTCAAAACCAGATTTTAATGTTCATGAAAGTGTCACCTTGAATTTAACAGAATTCGATGTTGTCATTTTACTCCGATAAAAATTTACTTCCTTTTAGTGTTAAAAAATAAAATTTTTGGAAAAAAATTTTATTTGGAATAATATGTAGATAAACTGTAGATAGATAAACTACATATTATTCCAAATAAAATTTTTTTCCAAAAATTTTATTTTTTAACACTAAAAGTAACTCAAAAATTCGGACCTATTTTTCAAAATTTGGACCTATTTTGGCCTTTTTCTGATTTTTTTGAACCTATTTTGCTACCTCAAAAAACCTAAAATAGGAACCTATTTCACAATTTTTCGGGCCTAAAATGTCGGACTCTACTTATAATAAAGCCCGACTGTACTAAAAAATATTTTTCAAACGTAAAATAAAGGATTTTTATTGTGCAAAAATAAAATAAGTAATAATAATAAGTGTGCAGTAGAACAACGAAGAATGGCATTAAATTGAAAAGAAGACGGAAACGAAGGGCTTGAGAGGGACGGAAAAATAAAAGAAAAAAGAATTTGTGTAAATTCAACGACTTTAAAAAAATAAAAATGAAAAACAAAAAAATTTTGAAGGGCATTGAAAGGGTTTTTGATTTATAATGAGAAAAAGGAAGCAAATAAAATAAAAAAATGAGAATGGCAATAAAGAATGATGTTGCTTTTATTTATTGATAATTTAAGGAAAAAAACGTCTTAAAATATTATTTGAAAAAAAGTAGCAAAAGCCGACCCCAGAAACCCGTCCCCGACGATTTTTTGGCAAAAACCTCACCCCGACCCGCCCCCGATCAACGACACTCCCGACGAAAGGACGGGTTGCTAGCCTATTTAGAAAATAAAATAAAATGTCGTTTTCGGTAAATGATGTCGTTTTTAATCTTAATATTAGACTCAGATACAAATTTTTCATACTCGAGTACATTCTGGCCCCGTTTTTTGGTTTGAAAATTTTATATTATAATGAGGTCATAGGTGGGTCAGAATTCCGATTTCCGACGTTTTTTCCTTCCGATTTCCGACTTTTGAGCCAGTTTCAATTTCCGGCTCTTCAGATTTCCGACACCTCCGACTGTTCCGACACACCTCTGAATAAGGTGTATTTTAAATAGAGGGTATCGCTTAAGAAAATTTAAGTTATCTTAAAATTAGGTGTATGTATTGGGTGTTGTTAGAAAAATTACTTTTTAAAATTAATAAAAACATTTTTTATTATTTCCCATTTTTAGTTTGAACTTATGGTACACCTTTTTGTTTACGAAAAGTTTATTTTATGGAATTTTTGAGAAAATAATAATTCTGAACCATCCTTGCTAAAATTCAGTGGTTCATTTTTTTGCTCAATCTGCTTTAGATAAATTTTTGATCCTTGACTTTAGGACACTAATTTCCCTTTCTCTTTTTCTCTTTTCTCCGACAGAAAACAAGTTTCCCGATTTTGGGAAATCGGGATCCCGACTAGGAAAACATCGGCAATTCCCAGTTCTTGGGGATCAGGAAACGGGACGGCAGGATCACTTACATGCACTCCAATACTAGATACACCCTCAATTTTAGAGTGTATGTCTCCCAAAAAAGTGAAAATATAGAAAAGTTTAAATGCAGATCTTGACCGAGATCTATACTAAAAATATCGTGATACTCTTGTTAGGAGATAACACTCTCGACTTCACTTTGCTATAGTTCACATAATTAACTATAGTTCTACCTATAAATCGTACCTAGACGTCATCTCGAACAAAAATTTTGGTTATTGGCTTCGAGATTTACAAGATAATGATCTCGATTCTCGTACGACCCTCCCAATCCCCTTCCTAGTCCAATCCCACCACTGTGGTTCATTCTCAGTTTACACAGTTGCCTGTACTAGGCTTTTAACCTGGTATATTTATATCCAGTTTATTCTCAACAATTTAAACAAAATTTAAAAAATATTGATAATGACTTTAAATAATTTTCTCGTTTTTCTTTTTTTATTTACAAATTTATCCCTATTAATTCAAGTAATTAATTGTGGCTGTCTGAGCTACTTGCAAAAAAATTGTGATAATTTTAAAAATAGATGCTGTAGTGGTTTATATTGCATAACTGATAAATATGGCGATTACTTTTGTGATTCCGGAAACAATTGTATCAAGTATCAAGGCTATAGTTGCAGTGCGTTTGCGATGAGATATTGTTGTTATGGACTATATTGTTCCACACAAACAAAAACTTGTGTAACGTGTATGGTAGAAGGCGAATATTGTTATGGTATTCATAATTTTCCATGTTGCAAGGGTTTACATTGTGCTGGTAGATGCATAAAAAAAGCTGAGGAGTTGGTTAAAGAAATGAATTAAAAAGGAAGCGGCCAACGTACCGCGAGCCCAACACACCGGAGTGCTATAACTTTGTTCAAAATTATCGGATCCGGGACGCCATTGTATGGTGCGAAGCATCTCTATGAGCTCAATCGAACCATGCATAAAGTTTCGGATTCACTTTCTGAACCAAGTTATAACTCGGTGGTATGCTTTGGTATACCCAAGTAAAAGAATTATTATAAAATTGTTAAACAATTTCTGTCCTATTTATTTTTTAAAATTTATCTAAAAATAGCTTTTCCTTTCTATGTACTTTAGTTTTTTCAGATTTGTTGAATAAAATAAACATATTGTTTTAATTTAATTTTTGATTCGGACAAGACTTTTGTCATTCAAACGGCATTTTGCCAAATTTTAACATTTTCTAAGTCTTTCCTAGCACTTAAAATTTAAAAAAAATTTTCATTTTCACCCTAATGTATAACTAGGGTAAAATCAGCACATCAGCAACGGATCATCACATCAGTTAGGAAAAATTTCTGAATATTAGGATATGGTATTCGAACTAGAGGATGTCGAGGTCAAGGCCTCGCTTAGGCCGAGGTCTTAAACAATTTTCACGCCTCGACCTCAATTTTGCCTAGAAGCTGAAATCTGACAATGAAAATGGTTATATTAAAAATTATTTAAAAAAGATAGATTTTGAAATATGTATAAAAACAAATATAAAATAAAAAAAATTTTTATCAAGTCGATTTTAAGCAAATAAAAGTTTTTTTTTCTTTTTTAATTAATTTAGACAGTAGAAAATGTGAAAAAATGTTTTTTGTGTTTTCCTTTAAAATTGGGTTGAAGAAAAATAAATAAAATTTAAAAAAAAAACAAATTTTAAAGTCCAAAGTTTTTTCTTCTAATTTAATTTAAATTGATGGAAATAAAAGAAAAAAATTGGGAGAAAAAATTAAAAAAAAATTTATTAAAAATCCAATCAAAAAGAAGAATAACCAATAGCAATTTTCCATTGCTGTCTAAATTGTTCAGCAAGTTTTTTTGCTTCATTTTAACGTCGTTCAAGTTGGTAACGTCGAACTCGCAGTTTTTCCTTTAAATTTTAAACAACATAATTTTGAAGATTTAAACGGTGAAAATCAGTTGGGACGACCTATGCGTCGATCACTTGAGTGTATATTTTTAATTTGATAGCCCACTGAGTGGGGGGGGGGATCTGGGGGGATCTCTGTCTCCCTCCGTACACCCTATAACAATTTTTTGTCATAATTTTTTGGCCAAACTTTTGGCCAAACTTTTTGTCCATAACTGGAGAAATATAGAAAAAATTAAAATAACAAATTATCGTGTTGGTTGATCTATAATGGAATTAATCTACCGACCACTCAATTTTAAAATAAAAATAAATAAATACTAGAGCCATCCCAAGATTCATGATCTTAACAAATTAGCTAGAAAATCTCCTACTTGTAAGCTAGTCAATCTTAGCATTTCATTATTTGGTTCATTCCTCCTTCTGTAACGGATTTGTTCAAATTTTCGAATTCTGCGTTGAACATCCTCTACTATGTTTAAAAAATGAATTTTAATTATTTCTTTTAAATTACTTTTTCTTAGGCCATTCTCGTATAAATTTTGAGAGGAAAGTGTTATTGATGAAGTTGAAGGACTGGCGATTTGATGATTAGGTACGAATATAACCCTTCTCTTATGAATATCTCTTCTATCACCCTCAAGTATTTTGTATTCCTTTCCTTCGTCCTTCGATTCTTCGTTGTTATTCTTCGAAACCTCCTCCTCATTCCTCAATTCCTCTTCTTCACTCTTCGATTTCTCATCTTCCTTAGATTCCTCTTCACTTCCCTCATCTTCCTCCTCATTTCGCCTATATTTCTCTTCTTCCTTCAATTCCACCTGATTTCCCCCAGTTTCTTCGTCATTCTCCGATTTATCTTCTCCTCTTCTCAATTCATTTTCTTCCTCCAAACCTCTTTCTTCATTCCCAACTTCTCCATTTAAGTTTTCTTCTTCACCTTCATCATGATTCACCTCCCTTACATTTAACTCCAATTCTCCAGTTTCAACCTCCTCCTCTTCAAAATTATCATCATCATCCTCTTCCTCCTCTCCAATATCCAATTCTTTTGCTTCAATTTCGCGTCCAAGTTTCTCATGTACCAACTTTCTTAACAATTCAAGTCGCAATTCTCTTGTCTGTGTCCAAAGCTTTTCAACCTTATAATTCAATTTTTGATATTTCTTAAAAACTTATGCCTACATTAGCGTTAGCCTTGTCTAAGTCTCGTATTATTGTTTGATTGATGACTTTATCAAACCACAAAATGAGTGAGTTTAGTTTATCCTGCATCCCTTGGCATATCGTCAACACCTTAAATTGGCTAATAGACTTTATATCAAAGCATGCTAGGGACTAGGCTTGAGATAAAGCTACGGCCAAAAGCTGGAGCCTGGAATTATTTAGAGCTTGCGATTTGTGAGCGCAATAAGGGATGTATCAGAAATACCAGGTATTTGGGATCCAGTAGCTCTGATTTTTTAGATAGGTCTTAGGGCTGAAAAGCACCTTAAAATGCAAGTAGCATATAGAAAACTCGTCCACCCCTTGTCAACCAGATTTTAATATTCCTATCTTAAATTGAGGATAATTAATTTTGGCGGTAACTAACAATGAAATTAACTAATCTAGAAAATCCAAGCTACATTATAAAAGAATTCTTTTTAAAAATTAAAAAATCCTTGCCCTTTTAAGAGCCACATTTGACTGTAAATCATTAAAAGCATTCTGAATTGCTAATTCCACTGACTGAATTTCTTCTTCCGTTACATAAGGGAATCTTACACGGCCTTTAAGAAATTTATTTTTTAAATCGACTGCCAATATTTACCCAAATAAACCCTGCATGATTGAATATTATTTATAGAATTAACAAAATTATTCCGAGCCTCAACCGCGGTGAAATAACGAGATCGGGCTCCATTAATTTGTTGGAGTTCTTCCCAGGATGTGAGGCCTGAATAAATTATTAAATGAGATTTTTTCGATGTTTCAGGGATTAAGGTATTAAAACAACATGCCGTAAGAAAGTTGAATTGATGCATGGATAAGTAGTGCCCTTTAAAATACAAGTTAAATTATTATTTAAAAATTCTTAATAAGGCCGGACTTCAATATAGAATATGCCTCCTAGAAAAATTTTATCCTATAATAAGGTCTTAAATTAGGAGTTTCGCTTAGTCAGCTCTCTCCGCCCAATATTATCAGGCTCAGTGGCCTTCCGCCTAATATAACCTTCCAAAAAAATTTATCTTATAATGAGGTAAACCCTAGATTGAGGTTTCGCTTAGGCTATCTTATGTCGAGAGCAGAGCTGCGTCGAAATAAAAAAATCTTCGAAATTCGTAAATCGAAAATCGAAAGAAATCCAAAAATATCGAAATCGAAAATCGAAATTTTATAAAAAAATTCGAAAATCGGAAATCGAAAATCGGCAGAAAAAAACGTCGAAAATCGAAAATCGGTAATCGAAAATCGAAATTTTTTTAAATAAATAAAAATGTATCAAACAATCCGCAATATAGAGATATAAGGGTTAATCTTGAAATATAAGGATTCAATAGATTAATAGTCTTAAGGAATATCAGTGATCGGATATCAGAAACAGGATTATGGGGTTGATTAGAGAACAATTAGATCCGAGACTAGATCACTTTAAATCCTTTATTACTCCGATATTCTACTTACCCCTTGATACCCGCGATATCCCGTCCACTTATATCACTTATTAGTGAAGGTAAATCGATTAATTGAGATATCAGTGGTCATTGAGATATCCAGTTATCTCGCACCCTATATACCAACTATACACGCACCCGCAATACGCATTCCGCAACTGCGTCCAATCCTGGTATTAAACCAGGGAAGTGATAACTTAATGCGACTAAGCCAAAACGTTTTCATCCGCGCCGCAGGCGAAAATTTTGACAATTTTGTAAGGCCTAGTCACGAGATTTCTTCATTTTTAAGCGCCGCAGGCAAAAATTTTGAGAATTTTGGAAGATCTTCAAGCCAAAAACTTCCATTTTCAGCGCCGCAGGCGAAAATTTTAAAAATTTTTGAACGCCAAGGAGCAGATTTCTTTCTTTTTCTGCGACGCAGGCGAAAATTTTGAGAATTTTTGAAGGCTCTTAAGTCAGAAATCTTCTATTTTTAGCGCCGCAAGCGAAAATTTGAGAAATTTGTAAGGCTTAACAGCCAAATTTCTTCATTTTTTGGCGCCGCATGAATAAAATCTTAAGAAAAAAGATAATTCAATTTTGCAAAAAAAGTCGAAAATAAAACGAAAATCGAAAAAACTAAAATTATCGAAATCGAAAATCGAAATTTTATGAAAAAATTCGAAATTCGGAAATCGAAAATCGGTAAAAAAAACGTCGAAAATCGAAAGTCGAAAATCGAAATTTCGACGCAGCTCTGGTCGAGAGTCATTAAGCATTTTAAAATACCTTCCATTTGTCCACTTAAATTTTGCGAGTGTCACCCTCTGCAACCAGCCTTGTGCTGATTCCAACTCTCTTACGGGTACGAGATCCATATATTCGGCAGAACCATTGACCGAACCTAATCATTATCTAATTGTTAAATAAGCATAATTCCACTCACAAAAAATTTCTTCTTGTTTTTGATGTGCTTTTTCAAGTTTCTCACATGTTTCACGGTAGCGGTTGGCAACAAGTTGTGCACGGGAATATTCTGCTTTAATTGTCGCTATCTCTTTAAATGAATTCTCCTCTTTAACAACTGCCTAAACAATCATAAAATTGTTAAAATTATTGAAAATCTACAAACCGACTCAACCAATTCTTTCGCCTTTTCATGTCTACTCTGATAAATGCCTTGTTGTCGAAGGTGGGCTCGAATACCGGGCTGCTTCAAATGTTCAAGATCTGCTCGAGCTTTCTCCCTTTTATTTTCAAACTTTTCATATTTTAAAAATGTAATTTATATCTTATCTCAACCATTATACAATCTCAGGATTACCCCACAGCTCAGGGTTACCCCTACATGCAATTTCCAATAAGGGTTCTGGGTTAACCTACCCGCAGCTAAGGGTTGGTTAACCCCTCCCCCTGTTTTTATGATACAAGGCGATTTTCATGATACCCATCTCAGCAATTTTAAGCTATCTAAGATAGACTGCATTATAAGAAATGCTGTTTCCACATCTTATAACGAGGTTCGACGTTTTTTAAAACCGATTTCTTATCAACATTCTACTTTTACTAACATAAATCTTTATTCTTACTTACGTTTGTTTTTTCAACTCTTTATGCCTAGCCTCCAAATGAACAAGCTTTCTCATAGCTTCATCCGCAAGGTGATTTTTTGTTTCCCAATTGCTCAACACTTGTTTTCTCTCCAATCTTCTTGCCATTCTTTCCAATTCCAAATATTCTTGTAAAAGAGTCTCTGTCAATTCTTGTTTTGGAACTTCAATACGAACCCTTTGAGTTCCCTCAGCTCTTATTTCGTCTTGAATATCATCGACAGGGCCTTCTGGATTTGGAGAATGTGAAAGATTTGTTGTCGGATTTGATTGTCGGAGTTGTAGGAATCGTAAAATTAAATCCATTCCGCGTTGAATAAATATATTTGAAAGGCAATTGCCCATCAAACATAATGAAATGCTTCAATTTTTGTTTAAAATGTGGAGAAGGTGGAAGGAAAGGAGTTGGAAAATAAATTTACTAGAAGGTGGAAAATTGCCATGTTTTATGAAAAAGCAATTTTTTGTTAAAAGGAATGCTTAAAAAATATTTTAAAATGTATTTAAAAAATTCTCTCACAAAATAAAATGCTCGTTTTTCTTTCAATTGGGCTTTAATTAGTACCTATTGAATTAAGTGTTCTGAATAAATTATTTTTAAATTATTGAAACATTATTAGACATTTTTTGTTAGTTTTAACTAGGGTTGCGCGAGGTTGAAGCCTCGGAATGACCGACCTCATGTCTCGGAACCTCTGTCCTCCAAGAACCTCGCAGAGCTGCAAGGTTAAATCAGATACGGGTTCTATTACCTAACCATAGCTTGAGGAAACCCTTACCCGCATTTTGGAATAAGTGTTCTGGGGTAACCTATATACGCGCAGCTGAGGGTTTGATAACCCGTCACCTTGTTTGTAGAATACCGCCTCTAGAAAAAAATTAATGATGAAAGACTTAAGTTATGCATGTATTCAATTACTTTTAAAAATAAGCATATTTTCGCCATCTTGAAGCTAATTTCTATAATATGTAGCTTTAATTTTAAAATAAATTTAAAAAATTATTTTAATAAAATATTTTGCAAAATTTTTTATTGAATTTTTCAAGGTAAATATCGGCAATTACAAACATCCACTCGACAGGAAGTGCTATATTTCTTAATGTCCTAAGTCTTGAGTTGCATTTAAGAAATCCCATTTAAATCTATAATGCCTGCCCTTATCATGACTGTCGATAAATTGAAAAAGATAATTTATCTAGGGGTAAAAAGAAAATTTTATATGAGGATATTTCACGTGTCCTTTTGCTTTAAAATATAAGACGCTACGCGTTACACGCGTAGCTGATTGCTTTAAAAGGTGAATTAAATAGCTAGTTTAGCTGTATCTACTCATGTAGGCATTCCTTATAGTGACAGTCGCTACTAAATTGAACAACAACGAACAGCCTTATAATTTTCTTTCACAATGTTTGGAAAACTAAATTTATTTTAGCTAACAAAACAGTAAAATCAACTAACAAAACAATATTACTGGGCTAATTAAAGGGTTGAAGTCATTTTCGTTGTTAGGGTTAAGTCAATTACGTCCTATATGTATAACTCAGATCCGAAAATGATTTTACTAATTATATGTAGTAGAAGCCTTCTAAAAATCGAGATTTGATTTAAATTTTACTATTTAATTTAAGGATGAAAATTTTCAATTTAATCCTTTTAAATTTTTATTTTCTTCAATTGATTTCATTATTATTTGGAATGTATCCAGGGGGTCCTTCAGGATCGCAACCAGGAGGAATGCATCCTGGAGAAGGTTCGAGATCGCAACCACGAGTGATGTATCAAGGAGAAGGTTCGGGAACACAGCAACCAGTGGCGGAAGATGTTTGTTTTATTGTAGCGAAATAAAAAATATACAATTTTAATAGGAATTTACTCAATTAAACGGTCAAATTATTCCTTTGCTTGAAAATGTTGGCGACTTTGAACCTCATCCGAACATAGCAGTTCGACCGTTACGTAATATCTATTTTTAGTCAAATTTATAAAAAAAAAATTTTAAATTCATAAAAAAAATTTAATTTCAAAAATAAAGGTAGCTCTGAACTTTTGGAACAAATTACGAATGTAAGAAAGCAATATTATAATTTGGTTTATGCATATGGTGAATTATTAGCTTTTTCAGTTCAATTTAATCAACAATTAAACAACAATTTAATTGCTAGAAACCTACCTCAGGTGAAAAATATTAGTTAAAAAATATTTTTATTTGGTAGTGAAAATTGGTTAATAAAACTATTTCGAAAAGGGAGACACAAAATTTTAGGTTCGAGAGTTAGGGAGAAAATTATAACCAGGTGCAAACTTTTGCTCAAAATTTTTTCCATGCGTCTTAAGCTCTGTAATCAAGCAAAGTGAGGGTACATAAAAAATTTTTGAAATTTTTTGTTCTTCTTTTAATTATCTATCATTTAATCTTCATTTGATCTCATTATTTTTAATTTGAATAAAATTATGGCATAAATAAGCTGTCCCATGCTTTTTTGTCAACCTGGGGCCAATAAAAATTAAGGAGACAATCGACAAACGATAGATATATTTTTCACGTTTATCGTTCGGATACGTCGTTTGTCGAATACCTCGAGTAAAAATAAATATCTTTATCGTTTGTCGTTTATCGTCTCTATTATATCGATTGTCATCAAGATTTGTCGTTTATCGTTCGAAATTAGTCGATTGTCGTTTCAAACGATAATTTATTATGGTAACGAACGGAAAACTACGGTTTTTGAACGACAAATTTATCGGATGCTAAACCCTGTCCCCCAAATTTATCGTTTGAAATTTTAAAATTTTTTTAAAAATCCAAATTCGACCTAAAAATTCCAAATAAAATATTTTTAGATAGAAGAGAATGTGCTCTATCTTTTGATATAATTTTCAGAAATTTTTCTTTATAAATAAATTTACTAGAGGCTCTCGCGCAAGGTACATCCATTTTTGAGAGAAATAGGGACTCATCCTCTCAAATAGGCCTTTAATTTTTGATTAAGCGTCTTATAAATTTTATATCTTTTAGGAAAGTAAAGCTAAAATTCTGATTTTTACCTATAGAATGTAAAACACTCTCCTATATCTATTGGTATAAAAATTAGTGGGATTAAGGAGGTATCGGCGGATTAAGGGGGATATTGGTGGATTTGGAGTTATATCGATATTTTAGGGGATTAAAAGAGATACATATTTGAGTTTTAACCTTCACGGATAATTTTTAAGAATTGAAGGGATTCATAAGATTGATGGGATTAAGTTACTGCGAATTTGGTATATTTTGTAGTACCATTCGATAGAGGACACCCGACTTCCTATTGCTAAGTATTTTTCATTTTCTTGCAAAACGACTTTGGGCTAAGTTATGGCCATTCAAAGTTTCAGTCCTCGGGTGTGTTTGAGTATAAGGAAAGGAGGGAAAAGGAGTGAGATGTCTAGTTTTTTCACTCTCTCTGTTTGCATTACATTTTCTTACAAAGTTGAGAAAAGAATACAAGAGGCGCGAAGAATAAAAAGACTAGAGAAGAAATTCTTCTATTATATCGTTTGTCTCCTTAATTTTTATTGGAGGTAAACGCTAAATGATAATTGACAATTGATAAACGATAATTTCCATAATATCGTCAGCGGATATATTCAGACGACTTTCGATATATTCCAGACGATAAACGATATATTTGTAATATATCTATCGTTTGTCGATTGTCTCCTTAATTTTTATTGGCCCCTGTAGTTAAATCATAATTCTATTCAATTAGCTGAATAATTTTAATTTCAATTTGCTAGAATAATCATAACATCACACAAGAACTCAATCGAAGAATAAATACTTGTCACAGCGTCCTTGCAAATAACAAAGCCCAACAAGACGGAGTTATAGCAGATATGCAAACACTTTATGCTTATGTCAATCATCTTCACGGTTTTAATCAAGCGATTCGAAATGAGGGTAATTATTAGTTTAATATAATTTACGGGCAAACACGAAGGTTTCCTCTGAGATTCAATATATTTTAACACATTCAGGTCAACATGGGCAAGGCCAACCTGATCAAAGCCATCGTGGAAGAGGTCGAGGTAGACGCGGTCGTAGAGGAGGAAGTCGACGAGCTAGTCCAGGCAATTGAAGTAAGGAATATTATTATTAAGATATGCATTTTTAATGCAGGTATTGACAAGATTGAAGGGATGCGTTGAACATATATGATGAGCTATTCAAGCTGAGAAAACAAAGAGAACAAGAGTATAAATTATCCGACTTTTCTATTCAAGATTATGACAAAACTCAATGAATAGGTCTCCTTCCATATAAGAGGACTCCCCTGGTATTTTCGATTAGTAAAAGATGATCCGGAAACGTGAAGTCTATTGGATGACAGATAAGCTGTTCTTTTTTAAAACTATTTTTTACCACTTCGGTAATCTGAATCTATCAATATGCACATATTTCCGATTATTCCTCCCAATCGGTGTATGAATAATTTGTCTACGAGATACAAGTTATCTATTTAATTGTACGTGTAGGGTTTTAAGAGTTTCGTTGAAATAGCATATTAAGTATTTTTATAGTAGCTGTGATCTATTGTTTTGAGCTTTGTCATAATGTAGTAAATTTCATTTCTATCAATCGTTTCTCTTTCTTCACTATTAGAATTTTATACTTGCGGCCCGACATTTGCAGATAAAGTAAAATTCCAAGTCGTATTTTAGTGGAAAAAATAGAATAAATTGCCATTTCCAAAGTCATTATGTCCATAAGGTATCAGAAAACTTATTTTGCTGTAATGTCGAACCCTATTTAAATTTTAGTAAAACTCAAAATTTGTTATTCAAAAAGTTTACCCCATCTTTAATTTTCTATTCTTTCTAGCATAATTTGTATTAGTTTTCAATTTCTGCATTTTTCTTTTATTTTTTATTTAGACATTCTTCGGTGAATTATAGTTAAAAGCTCTTGTGATAAATCTTATTAGATGAATAATGTTTTTTTTTGAATTATAAAGAAGATAATCTCGGAATCATTATATTGTAAAGCATATAGCTATTAATTTCCTAAGGCTGAGCAGTAGGCGGCGTGTTGTAATGGCTAACACATCAGTCCGGTCTACTGAAGATGCTGGTTCGCTCCCAGCCGCGAATAACCTTTTGCACTAGCTAAAGGATACACTTCAATACACTTCCTAATTTAATGATCTAAATCGCACTCATCCGTAAAATTTAACGCTAAAAATTTTATTGATTAATTTTAGAATTAATTTTGTGCCTTGAAAATTAGAAATCTCTTTCAGAAATTTTAGAAAATTTCCTTAAAGTTTTAGTTAAAAAATTTTTTGTGGGTCTTTTGTCTGTGGGTATTCTGTCCTTGTGGGTCTTCTGTCTGTGGGTCTTTTGTCTGTGGTTATTCTGTCCTTGGGTCTTCTGTCTGTGGGTCTTCTGTCACTACGCCATTTTATTAAAATGTCGAACTTTGACAGTGGTGGGTTTGTGCTATCACCAACAAGTATTTTCTGTAACTTTGAAAATAATAATTGTTAGTACTTTTAAAAATATTTCTGAAAATTTTTTAAATACTGTATATGTATGCTTGGATAATTATCCTCTCTCGAATAAATGCCTCCTGTCAATTAAATGCCCTCTAAGACAGGTTGAAACAATACTTACACTCTCACAAATGTCCTACTCCAGGTGCACAGTTCAAAACTAGAATAATTGCACTTTCGATTAATTATGCTCTATCCTCCTCTCGCGAAAGTTTGAATTACCCAGGGTAATTATTTAAGCATATATGGTAATTATTAGTAGCTACTTCCGTCCGGACCGTTTCGGACAATAATGGATGGGGTTAGGGTTATTGCCATTTGGGGTTATAGCCAGTTGAAGGCTTAATCCTTTAATTTTTATTTAACTGACTATTTTAACGAGTTAACTAAACTCGTTTTGAGAAAAATAACAAAATTAAAAACTATAATTTATCACAAGAGTATTCTAACTACAAAACAGTAAAAACTGTCCAAATTAAAAATAGAATAAAATTGAAAAACTAAAACAATTTTGTGCTAGAAAGGATAGAAAATGTTAAAGAATTAGATACTATAATGTATCTCGTTTTTAAAACACCACAAAGTGTTGTCATAATTTTGAATAATATCTGTTCTAATAACAGATTGATCTAACACATGTTTTCTTTCCTCACATCCTCATATTGTCATCATCTGTCTTAATTTAAATTAAATATTTTAATCATGCATATTCCCAGCCTCAATTGCCGGAATCAGATCCGTGACCTCCTGAATGGCGACCTTGTGTACTTCCACCTCGTGTACCTTGACCTTGTGTATCCCGACTTCGTATACGTCCACCTGATGGCACTTAATTTATAAAATAATTTTAAGTTCGCTTTCTTTCAATATTTAAGCACATAGGAAAGTTATATATCAAGATATTTATCTTTGGGGGAAACATTTTATATTGGCTCAGAGGGATGAGCGCAAGAGTCTATTTAAAAAACGTGAGGCCAAAAATCAACACAAAACGCTATCCAATATGAATTTGGACTTATAAATTGAAATTGGCCGCTGCAGACATTTAAACGTCAATTAATTACCTTCATTAAAATGCTTGTGAATCTTCCACATATCTTCTATAATTTCCGTTTTCTCGTTTTCGATTTCTTGAAGACGGGTGTTCAGTTCATTTATTTTTTGTAATATGGTCGAATCATTCTAACAAAAGGAAATATAAACTGATAAATTATTCATATAATTCGGATTTTTTGTCAGAAAATAGGCACATATTTTCATTTCCCAATAAAAATAAATTTTAAATAAAAATTGTCTTTACCTGATAATACAATTTAACCGACTGGTAGTAATGAATTTGTTGACTAATATCCGTAAATTCAGCACACAACTCGTTATATGCAAGACATAAATTATTATATTGTTTTTCAATATTATCAATTACTTGCATATTTCCTTGGTTTTCTTTATTTTTAAAAATTATTTAATTAAAAATTTAAAATAAGAATTACTTAATGGACGTTGTATGATGCCTGAAAGAGGAGCAGAAGAGCCAACGTGTTGAAGCATATGACGAATTTGCGAATCTAGTTGAGACAACTATTAAGAATATTTATAGTCTTATTTCACTAAAATAATACTAACATCTTGTTCCGCAGTTTGTTGCGATCCTGAACCTTCTCCGGGATACATTCCTCCTGTTTGCGATCCTGAAGGACCTTCTCCTGAATTCATTCCAAATAACGAAAAATTTTAAGAAAATAAAAATTTAAAAGGAATAAATTGTAAATTTTCATATTTCAATTAAAAACAGTCAACTTATAGAATTTTCGAGCACCCATAATGTCGAAACTTTGAGGGGAGTTTGGTCTTATTATTTCTTGACGCACTGTAATAATTAAGCTTACATCTTGAAAAAACTTATGTAGAGAAATAAAGCAGATTTAGATACCAAATGCCCTATCTTTTCTTAGAAGAATTGAAAAAGGCGCCGTGGTAATAGTAGAGGGCTTGTACCACTCGTACTTTGACATTAAATTTTTTGAAGGAAAAGGTAAAGAAATACCTATTTATAATTTCTCCCATTTTTCCTTTGCTTGGTTGATGGTTGAGTGGTTAGGTCTGGTCCGAATAGGCCTAATATACTAGACTCATTTCGTCCCAAAACAATGATTTTGTGCTTATCTCATCGTTACTAGACCGCAAAAATATAGGTAAAACCCTAAAAAACTTTCTCTGTTTATTAATCAGCCCTATAATTTTTCTTTTTACATTTTATAAAAATACATTCATAAAAAGTGTTTCGAGAATAAAGTTTTTCTAATATGTCAATTACCTAAATTTCGTGTCGTTTGATTATAGAGTTCTTGGACATAATCGTATAATGTCCGCAAATCTGCTGTGAGTCCGTTTTTCAGGGTTTCATTAACTTGACTATAGATTTCTAGTTCATGTATCTTTTTTCTTGCTTCTTTTTGTTGTTTTTGAGTGAAGTTAGGATTGTTCTGACAAATGAGAAAATCTGAGTAGAATTATTTTATCTCTTATTTATTTTCCCTTTACAAGTCTCGGTTTTGCAAAAATTATTTCCTTTTTCAAGTTTATTGCCAGATAAAAATTAATTTTAAACAAAATAATATTTTTTACCATATTTTGATATAGATACCCTAACAAGGAATTTATTTGTTCATTAATTGCATTGGTATTAAACAGCTCAAGATAAGCATAAACCAAATTATTATATTGTTTTCTAACATTAGTAATATCTTCGTGGCGGGCAGGGTTCTCTTTAATTTTAAAAATAAATTGTTAATTTAAAAAATAATTATTACTTAACAACCGAGGTGTTATTTCCTGAAGAATCTGGGTGTCGCCAACAGTTTCAAGCAACGGAGAAATTAGTCCGCTTAATTGAGTAAATTCCTATTAAAAATGTTTTGTATATTTTTTATTTCGTTACAATAAAACAAACATCCACTGGCTGTTGCGATCCTGAAGGACCTTCTCCAGGATACATTCCCCCCGGTTGCGACCCTGAAGGACCTCCTGGATGCATTCCAAACAGTAATGAAATCAATTGAAGAAAACAAAAATTTAAAAGAATTAAATTGCAAATTTTCATCTTTAAATTAAATAATAAAATTTAAATTAAATTCCGATTTTTAGAAGGCTTCTACTACATATAATTAGTATTTTTATTAAATATCATTTTTGGATTTGAGTTATATCGAACTCTAACAAAATTTTTATTTTAAAGGTCTTTCATTCTTCATAATGAAAGAAACACTGAAATATATTCCATTAAATTCTATAAGTAAATAACCCAGTAATATTGTTTAATACACTGATTGTTTTGTTAGTTAAAGCGATACTATTCAGACATTGGGGAAAAAAATTATAATGGCTGTTTAAATGCCTAGATGAAGAGGATAAATACAGCCAAACTGCCTATTTAATTCAACATTTAAAGCAATCAAATAAGAGGGTAGCTTATCCCTGATCTTTATTTTTCCCTCTATAAATCGAACATTCGAAAAACTCAAATCGAATTTTCGAGCCTTTTTTAATTTTAAAGCAAAAATACACGTGAACTATTCTCTTATAAATTTTTCTTTTTACCCCTTAATAAAGTATTTTTTCAATTTAGCGGCAGTCTCAATAAGGACAGGCTTTTAAATTTAAGATTAATGTCAAATGCAACTCAAGACTTAAAACATTAAGAAAAATTGCACTTTCTATCGAGCTTGCTGTTTGCAATTGCCGATATTTACCTTTCTTTAGAAAAATCCTTTAAAATGTTTTGCAAAATATTTTATTTAAAGAATTTTTTAAATTTATTTTAAAAGTAAAGCCATTCTAGAGATTAGCTTTCTGGTTGCAGCAAAATATTTCTATAGGTTTTATATACGCTCTTCATGCTGTGGAAAAATTCATTTGATGGGAGATTGAATTGAACCATCATGGAAAGGGCCCAAACCGAAGAAAGGGCCCAAACCGAAGCACAACCGACTGTGCCACCATCCAAACCAATGATGGGTTATTTATTTTCATTTATATTCTTTCTGCAAGTGCGGACACAACAACAGGGTGACCAAAAATAAACGGGGTACTCTTCAGTTAATCATAACTTTTTTATTTAAATTTTTTAATATTTTTATACTCCTCTTGTAGCCCAAACAATTCTCTTTCAGGGCTTATAAGCCCCGTTCCATTATTTAACTTTTTCCTTCAGCGTTCGTAACTTTTAATCTCCTCGCAATTAAAAAAAAGCACTTTCTAAAAAACTTTAAAAAATCCGATTTTCCTTAAATTGGGCTTTAGTTTGTACCTATTGAATTAAGTTTTCTGATTAAATTATTTTTAAAGCTTAGAAATATTTTCAACATTTTTTGATTATGTTAAATTCATTGTTTCTTTTATCTATTTTCTAAAAATCAGAAGTCGAGACAACTAAGCTTAAATGTAAACTCGGAGAATATTAAAATATAAATAAGGTAAAAGTTAGGGAAATCTGAGAGTGTGAGCCCAAGAAATTGGTAAAATAAATCCGAGATTATTTCATTAATAATTAAAGAATAACTAAGATTTATCGCAAGAGCATAAAAACTACAAATCACCGAAAAATGTCAAAATAAAAAATGGATTAAAAATTCTAGAAATGGAAAACTAATACAAATTGTGCTAGAAAGAATATAAAATTAAAGAATTAATTGTAAAATAAGAAGAAAGAATTTATGGAAAGTAAATCTATTGATGACAGAACTGAATGATTATAATCATATACTGAAGGATATCTCATATAACGATCTTATATATTTTCATATACCGGAGGAAGACATATTCTTGTAATAATCATTAATGGAAAGTTGGATTATTATTTTTCTTTAATGGAAAAGCCAGAAAT